TGGAGTGCAGTGGCATGATCTCGGCTCACTGCAACCTCTGCCTCCTGGGTTCAAGTGATTCTCCTGCCTCAGCCTCCCGAGTGGCTGGGATTACAGACACACACTACCACGCCCAGCTAATTTTTGTATTTTTTAGTAGAGATGGGGCTTCACCACGTTGGCCATGGCCAGGATGGTCTCAATCTCTTGACCTCATGATCCATCCACCTCAGCCTACCAAAGTGCTGAGATTACAGGCGTGAGCCACCGCTCCTGGCCCAATAACTGTTTTTAAAATATTTTTGTTTCAATGTAAAATTATTAATTACAGTAGAAAATTTGAAAAATACAGAATTGGGTTTGGTTTGGTTTTTACCTTTTTTTTTTTAATTTGATAAAGATGAGGTGTCACCATATTGCCCAGGCTGGTCTTGAACTTCTGGGCTCAAGCAGTCCTCCCACCTCACCCTCCAAAGTGCTAGGGCTATAGACAGGCACCACCACGTCCATCCCAGAATTGTTTAACAAAGAAAATATACATTACCCTCATTCCACTATTCAGAACTGCCCAGCAGTAACATCCTAATTTACAATCATAGCAATATCAGCTACACTTCGCTTTGATTGGCAGAGTCTCTGAGCAGCCTTTCTGTGTCTTGAACTTCCCATGAGCTTGACGGTATCCACTCCTATCTCATGGTCACTTGTTTGTCTTCTGGAGTTGGTGGCTCTGGAGCTTGGCCAGTAAACATTATTGGGTCTATAGAGTGACCGAAGCACTGTTGTGGGCCCAGGCTACTCGGTAACAAAGGGGAAGAAAGAGCATGGGGGGCCCGGCCAGAGCCCCACTCCACCATGGCTTTTCATGTTGCTGATTCCCTTCCATGGCCTGCTAGGCCACCTGCTTTCACACCCAGCCTTCCACCGCTAGTGGTTCTCTGTCTGGCTCCATGTCTCTAACGCAGCCCTGTCTACTCCTATTTGGGCATGTTTCAAAGCACTTTCCGCCGAGGCAAGGGCAGTGGGAACTCTCTGTGTGCCCACCTCCCTGTGGCTGCACCACCTCCTCAAGCCACCCCCAGCTGTGGCTGATCCACACCTTCCTGGCACTGCCTGCTGCAGCTCACTCAGTCCCCGTGGCATCCCCATGAGGCAGATTCCACTGGGACCCCCATTTTCAGATGACAGTCTGAGGTCCAGTCACCGAGCAGAGCCAGCACATGCTGGAGACAGCCCACACTGCCTGCCTGGCTTCTAGGCACCAGGCTGCACAGCCTCCCTGTGCCCGCTCCCCCGCCCAGCTCAGAGCGCGAGGCTCGCATGTTGGTTGGGATGCATGACAGCAAGAGCTGAGACAGGCATGGAGAGGTGCAGACTTCTCTCTTTCCTCTGCTCTATCCTGGCAGCTGATGCCACTGCTGAAACTGCGGCACGCCCACATCTCTGTGTACCAGGAGCTGTTCGTCACGTGGAATAGCGAGGTGGGTCAGAGCTGACACCTACGGGCTCAGCCACCACGCAGCAGGCTGCGGGACCAAGCGAACTGAGCCCAGAGCACGCCCACCCGCCAGCTCGTGTGGCAATGGCAGTGACTCTAAACGCAGCCACCTCTGACCTAACGCTCACTGGGGCCAGGTTTCATGCTGGGGCTTTCTGTGCATAGTTTCAAAGGAGCCTCAACAGCCTCCTCGTTAGGAGGGGTTCTTAACCCATTTCACAGAAGAAGAAACAGAGGCTAACAGATACGAGCTGCTCCAGGTTACCCAGCTAGTACGTGGCCAAGCCAGAGGGCCAGGACAGGTGGGCCCGACCCCTGGGCTCTGCACGCAGCCACCAAGCTCGTCCCGGTGAGCCTGTGCCTCTGATGACAGAGATTTTACTTTCATGGGAGGAGCGAGTAGACCCCTCTCCACAGCCACCCCCCAGGTGGTGCTAGGTCTGGGCGCCCCTTACTCCTGCCCCCGGGCAGCTGGCTGACAGTGCCACATCCGTCATCACGTGCTGGGAGGGCTGCAGGGCAGGCAGTACTGTCCCTGGGCTCCTGACAGGCCCTAGGGCTCTGGTTCACGAGCTCTCCAAGGCCACACAGCTGGTAAACTGAGTGGGGACTGAGACCCAGGTCTGGCAGCTGGGTCCCGTAGGCGGTATGACTTCTTGTCTTTACAAAGAGCCAGGAGCTTTCCAGTCACTTCCAATGGGACTGAGGCAGACAGCAGGAGGCGGAGCAGGCACAAGGGGTGCTGGAGGTAAAGAGAGGCTGAGAAGCCTCCTGCCGGGCGCCAGCCTGTATGAGAGGTCCACACTGGTGTTCCCGCCTGGGGCCAACAATTCTGGGTCCCAGCAGGAGAGGACCCTCACGCGCTCCCTCCACTCCAGCTGGGTGTTGGGGAGGGGACTTCACTGCAGGCACTCCCAAATATTCTCTGAGCACCCCCTAATGCTCTCAAGGAGAGTGCAGAGAAGCCAAGAGGGTATTTCCCTATAGGAGGGAGCACAGAATTGGGGGCCCTGACCCGGCCTGCTGGGGCTCTGGGCAGGGCAGGCTCCGCAGAGGAAATGGGCCTGGGCTTAAGTGTGAGCCATTATCCCCATGAAGGGGGTGGGCAGGGGTCCAGGCAGAGGGGTCCACGTGTGCCATGGCCAGGGCCAAGTGCAGCTTTCAGGAAGGTCCAAGTAGCTTGGTGTGGATGGAGCGTGGCGTGGAGCGGGGGCCTGGGAATGGGAAGAGGAGAGCGAGGGAGCCGGAGGTGGGGCAGGAGGGGCTTGTAGCCCCCTCCAGTGGGCAGTGCTCCCACAGCCACTGCAGAAGGATGGCAGCCCAGCGCAGGGAGGCCCCGGAACAGGCGAGCCCGCAGTAGTACCAGGGCCTGGGCGGCCCCTGGCAGCCGGCTAAAGGGCCTCCTGCCCCACAGATCTCCTCCCCGTTCCTCTGCCTGGTGATGGAATTCAACAAGGTCACCTTCCACGAAGTCATTACGGATAAGAGGGAGGCGAAGGAAATCATTGACGCCGAGGTAAGATCCTCTGGGGCACCAGGCCTGGGGACCACCTAGACCCGTGACACAGGCCCTGCAGCGTGGGGCAAAGCGACAGTGGGCGGGTGGGCACCGTGCAGTCCAGCCCTGGTTTTTTCTTAAATGTACGTCTCAAGGCATTTGCACCCTAGGACATGTGCAAATCTTAAGTGCACAGTTTGATGCACTCATACAACCTCCACCCAGATCAAGACAGAAGGCGTTCTTAACCCTAGAAGGCTCCCAGTCAGTGACTGATTCCAGATTGTTCTGCCAGTCCCTGAAGTTCATGTAAAGGGACTCGTCCTGCATGTCTGGTCTCTTTCCCTCTGCCTGCTGTTTTGTTTTTTCCCCTGAGACAGTGTCTTGCTCTGTCACCCAGGCTGGAGTACAGTGGTGCAATCTCGGCTCAATGCAACCTCTGCCTCCCAGGCCCAAGCGATTCCCCTGTCTCAGCCTCCAAAGTAGCTGGGATTACAGGTGCATGCCACCACTCCTGGCTAGTTTTTGTATTTTGGTAGAGATGGGGTTTCACCAGGTTGCCCAGGCTTGTTCTCCAACTCCTGACCTCAGGTGATCCACCCGTCTCGGCCTCCGGAAGTGCTGGGATTACAGGTGTGAGCCGCTGCACCGGGCCTAGCCTGCTGTTTTGAGCCCCGCTGTGCCGCTGCATGCACCGGTGAATCATCTTTGCTCATTGCTCAGTGCCCTTCTGCTGCCTGGCTGCACTGCAGGCTGTTTACCTAGAATCCTGCCGATAAGCATTTGGGCTGCTTCCAGTTTGGAGCTACTGTGAATAAGGCTGCTATGAGCATTGCTGGAAGGCACTCACTTTTCTGGGATAAATACCGAGGAGTGGAATGACTGGGTTGTGGAGCAGGCATATGTGTAGCTTTAGTAGATGCTCCAAACAGATTTCCGGTGTGGTTTAGTTGGCCTGATGTTTACTCTCACAAGCTGTGAGCGTTCCTGGTCTGCAAGGCAGCCAGCCCTTCACTGTATCAGTCTTTTTGTTGTTATTGTTGTGGTTGCTGAGATGGCGTCTCACTCTTGTCACCCAGGCTGGAGTGCAATGGCATGATCTTGGCTCAATGTAATTTTCGCCTCACAGTCCAAGCGATTCTTCTGCCTCAGCCTCCCGAGTAGCTAGGATTACAGGCGCCCACCACTACACCCAGCTAATTTTTGTTTTATTTGTCGTAGAAACAAGGTTTTGCCATGTTGTCCAGACTGGTCTCGAACTCCTGACCTTAAGTGATCTGCCCACCTCGGCCTCCCAAAGTACTGGGATTATAGGCATGAGCCACCGCACTCAGCCAGTTCACTTTCTTAATGATGTCTTTTGATGATGGAAAGTCCTAAGTGTGATGAAGTTTGCTTTCTCAATGCTGTCTCTATGCTGTCTCTATGCTATCTCAATGCTGTCTGTATGCTGCCTCCCTGCTGTCTCTATGGTTGGTGCCTTTGGAGTTTAAGAAGCATCTCCTGGTCAGGTGCTCATGCCTGTAATCCCAGCACTTTGGGAGGCTGAAGTGGGCAGATCACCTGAGGTCAGGAGTTCTAGACCAGCCTGACCAATATGGAGAAACCCTGTGTCTACTAAAACTACAAAATTAGCCAGGTATGGTGGTACACATCTGTAATCTCAGCTACTCAGGAGGCTGAGGCAGGAGAATCGCTTGAACCTGGGAGGCGGAGATTGCAGTGGGCCATGATTGCACCATTACACTCCAGCCTGGGCAACAAGAGCAAAACTTTGTCTCAAAAAAAAAAAATGAGGCTGGGCGTAGTGGCTCACACCTGTAATCCAAGCACTTTGGAGGCCAAGGTGGGCGGATCACCTGAGGTCAGGAGTTCAAGACCAGCCTGACCAACGTGGTGAAACCCCGTCTTTAAAAAAAAAAAAAAAAAAAAAGTGAAGCATTTCCTGCTCTGAGGCCATGAAGATGCTCTCCTCTGTCTTCTGTAAGCGTGGTCATTTTTGCCTTCACATTGAGGTCTTTCATCTACCCCAGATGAATGCTGCCTGCTTTTACCCTGAGAACTGTGTTTGGTGGGACCGGGTCCCCCTGAGGGGCTCTTCGGGGCACATAGCTCTTCTCTTACCATGGGCCTCAGAGGCAGTCCCAGGGTGGGTTTCAGACTTTGTGAGTGAAGCCCTTTGAAACACACAGTGTTCCCAGAAAGCCAGTAAGTGCAGCAGAGCTACTGTAACTGGGGGGAATAGGAGGACGCCCATGTCCTGCCCCCTCAGCCCCTAACACCCCAGGGTGGGCCTGAATCCAGGGGTCCTAGGAGCCCAGCTGCAGAATCACTGCCCTGGGGACTCAGTGGAGCTTGTTTCTGACGCAGAACGCTCCCAGCACATTCTCTCTCACGGCTGTTTATTAGAATGACTTAGAGGAGTGAGCTGCTTGGAGGCACTGCAGGCTTCAACTCCTCCCATACCTGCAAAGCCCATCTGCCTGCAGCTCCAAGCAAGTGTGGGGCAGCGTGGGCCACAGAGTGGGTGCAGGGATGGGGCCCCTGCAGCACCCAGGGTCTCCGGCATGGAGACAGCAGTGTGGAGTCTGGAAACTGAGTCCTTCTGGCTTTATCATCTGGAGAGTCACCACGCTGAAGCCTCCTCCACCCACCCTGAGTGCTTGGCTGGCTTCAGGCCTGTCTCAAGATGCAAGGAGAGAATACACCACCATCCTGCTGGCTGCTGAGTGTCACCCCCCTGACAGCAGCACAGGGCGCCCCTCCCATCCTGGCATCCCCTGCTTCTCCCCAGTGGTTGCAGAATGTGCTGGGCCAGGTGCTGGACGCGCTGGAATACCTGCACCATTTGGACATCATCCACAGGTGAGTGGCGCCTCCGATCTCCCTGGACTGGCTAGCTGCTTTGGGAGAAAAGGCACTGAGGCCACTTGGGTGCCAGTGCCCATGGGCAGGATCTGGGACAAAAGTATACTGGGCCAGTGCAGCCACAATAGGACGGGGACCTTCCAGAGCTCCTCCTGGGCTCAGAAGAGGCTCTTCCAAGTGGTCTTAAACCGTGTGCACACGCACAGCTGCATGGGTGTGCGCTAGCCAGGAGGGCTGCTCTAGAGGTCATGGAAAGGAAGGAGGCAACAGCCCTGCCAGGAACAGAGACTGGGCTGCCTGCTGTGGGGCCAGTATGGGCTGAGTGGGTCCTGCTGAGCCTTTGGCCCTCACCTCAGTGGCATAGCTTCAGGCTGAAGAATCCATGGTCCGAAGGGGCTGGGAGATGGCTCAGTTCTGAACACCAATATCTTATTTAAAGGGGAAGAAGAAAACCATGTGGCTGGGCCTGGTGGCGCATGCCTGTGAGTCCAGCAACATGGAGGCTGAGATGTGAGGATTGCTTGAAGCCAGGAGCTTGAGGCTGCAGATGAGTTATGATCGTGTCATTGCATTCCAGCCTGGGCAATCCTGTTTTAAAACACACACACACACAAACACATCCTGCAGACCATATGTACAAAGGGAATGCTCACATTCCACGTTCGGTGTTAATGTCACTAGACATTGCACAATGGCCAAAAATCAATCCCCAGGGAAATGGGTAGCTGAGATGTCTAAGGAGGTAAACATGAGGTCAGCCAAGGGACCTCTTCATAGTGGCTGGGTGTGTTCCTACTTGTGGTTGAGGTTTCTTCCCCCTGATTTAAAATAATTGAGTGTATTTCTGTATATAGGAAACAACCGCGTAAAAAGTAGGCTGAGATGGGGCATTGTGTGGAGCAGAGGTGTGGGCTGCTGCTGCAGAGCTGGGTGGGGCAGGGAGCAGAGAGTCAGGCTCAGCACACGCTGGTCCCCACTGCGGTGCGGGGGTGGTGGCTGCCCAGGCAGCCCGTCGGCACCTGTAGGCGAACCCACCTCTTGGTTTCAGGAACCTCAAACCTTCCAACATCATCCTGGTCAGCAGTGACCGTTGCAAATTGCAGGACCTGAGCTCCAACACGCTAATGACGAACAAAGCCAAGTGGAATATCCGTGCGGAGGAAGGTGGCAGAGCGTTCCCCCAGGTCATGGGAGAGGGGGCTGGCGTCTAGAATCCAGATGGTGGTGGCCACTTTGGGTGCTAAGCGAGGCAACACCAAATAGCTGTTTGCTCAGAAGGTCCCCACAAAACCCCTGGCCTGTGTGGACTCCAAAGAGAGCTCCTTTGGGTTGTAACTGAGCAGGCGTGCCAACACCAGTGGCAGAGGCAGGGCCCCAAAGACCCCAACATTTGAGAGAAACAAAGTTGTGGTTGGTTGTGGTACCCCAGAAAATGTTGCCTCTCGTGGAGAGAAAAGAAGCCTCAGAAGGAAGGAAGCTAAAATGCCCAGGACAGAAGGTCTGCGGGTGCCAGGCACTGGCTGTGTGTAGATCGCTGAGTCCTAAAACAACCCAGATGACGGGGTGGGTGGCAAGGGGAGATGAGTTCTCATTCCTTTAAAAAGATGGCCAGACAGGCCGGGCGCGGTGGCTCACGCCTGTAATCCCAGCACTTTGGGAGGCCAAGGCGGGTGGATCACGAGGTCAAGAGATCGAGATCATCCTGGTCAACATGGTGAAACCCCGTCTCTACTAAAAAAATACAAAAATTCAGCTGGGCATAGTGGCGTGTGCCTGTAATCCCAGCTACTCAGGAGGCTGAGGCAGG